AATTGTTGTTACTATGATGGCAGAGTAAAGGAGATCTTTTTATAACTCTTGAGACGCATCTAAGTAACCATTCTTAATAAGGTTTATCATAATACTTCTTGAAATATTCAGGTTTACAAACTCTCGCATTACTATCATTTAATTCTGCTCATATACTCATTTAACATGTATTCTTAAATCTTAATTTACACACACACACACACTTTAACATATGATTGTGGGTTGCATAATGGATTATTATATTATTTATGTTCATTTGTTAAAGGTAACAACTAAGGGAAAGGAATAGTATATAATTTGAAAAAAAACAAAAAAGAATGATGATAATAAAAATGTAGATAAGTTTGGTTTCATAGCCTCCCTAACCTAAGCAATTAAGCCCGAAGGGGTGTTTTAACACCTAATATCCTAAAGTCAACTGACTTGGGAGCTATTGGCCCAACGCTTGTTACATGGGTTAAGGAGAAAAGCTTAAGGGAATCAAACATTGCATTATCTACATATCAGTATCTGCGACCCGAGTTACTAAGCTCGTAGGGGTGTCTCAACACCTAATGCCCTAAGACCAACTGGTCTGGGAGTCATTAGCCGAAAGCTCGTTACATGGGTTAAAGATGCATGATGTTTTAAGTTATATGTATATATATTTAAAAAAAAAGAAAAAAATAATAGTCTCAACCCAAGGAAGTTAACTTTAAACATTAGAACAAAAAATTTATTTTCTTCCAAGAAAAGCCCCATAATTATGTGTCGATATATTGAGCACAAAAGAAAGGTTTATTAATATCTTGTTAAAAGGTATTGAGCAGATATATAAATTTAATGAGAGTTTGTTTATCTGGATAGATTAATGAAAGTTGAATGATGAATACCTTGCTTTGTGGAATTTGCAAATTGTTTTTCTATTTTAGCGCTTTGATTACTAGGGACTAATAATAAGCTAGTTGGGGGGTGTGATTAGTACTTAAAAGTGCATTTTTATCAAGATTTTATATCATCATTTTGCACTCGAAGTATTAATAACTCTTTAACTAAAGCATGCTTTATAATAACATATCTAATAACATAAATGAAAGGATTGATTGATAAATTTAAGAACTAAAATTAAAAGGACAAAGAGATGACCAAACTTAGAAAAGAGATGTCGATGCAATCCAAACCAGAACACTATTTCATAATTAGGTCATATGTTGAATATTTATTGTTAATGTTGAATTTACCATAGAATTTACTTTAATGTTTTTTTTTTAATTTATTGTTTTGTTGTATTGGCATAATTATTGAATAATTTATTGAATTGTAATTCTTAATGTTGAATTTACATTAGGATTAGTAATTGAATATGTTGGAATAATTATTAATTTTTCTTTATTATTGCATGATTTGGGTCTAATTTTTTTCATTTATTTTGATTGTTATTCTAGAGTTTTTTTAATTTATTATTTTATTGTATTAGCATAATTATTGAATAATTTGTTGAATTGTAATTTTTAATGTTGAATTTACCTTAGGATTAGTAATTGAATATGTTGGAATAATTAGTATAGATTGGGTAAATTGGTTGTGGCTATTGTTAATATGTGTAGGTTTGTGGATTTGGGTAGTATCCAGTATAGGGGAGGTGCTGTCGAATTTTTTTTTCACATTTGAATTTAATTATATAATTATTTGTATAAAATTGTGTAGATGCGTAGAACGAAAACTAGAGTTGATCGCTCACGTATGGTCGTAGCTAGTTCGTCTAGCAGCGATGATGATATTTTCTTAGGTGCCTCTCAAAAAGAGGCACCTACACCACCTGCACCGTCAAGCAATACTGCCTCTTCCAGTGTTACTTCACAACGGAATCAATTTACCCATAAGTATGAGGCACAGTGGAAAGATGACCTTTCAACATAAGTTTGTTAAGGTTTTAGTTTTTTTTAAAAACAATTACAACATAATTTATGAAATAATCACTATTGGATTTATTTCATTTATTTTCAGGTTCACAAACATTGAAGCCGCCCGAGTAATATCATCGGCTTTTAAATCATCGATGGAGATTTTGTTGTTTCACTGGAGTCAGATATCTAAGCATCCTGAATGGATGCCTCAAATCAATGCATGGTTTAACAAGTTTGACGTTGGTATTAATTTATAATTTTCAGCTTATTAATATAATTGTAAATAAATTATTATTTTTATTTAAACTTGTTCATTTATACACAGTACAAATTCTGCTAGGACAATGAGCATAACACTATTGTGAGGAGGGTGTGGGAAAATCACGCGGCAACTAGGTAAGATCGAAAATAATACAAGATTTTTTTTAGACAAAAATTTATGTTTCGAAATGTAATTTTTGATTATGTGAAGTAGGTTGCGTGATTTTTGATATGAAGCACAAAAAAAGAAAAAAAAAACACGAGGGATAGGGGTTTCCAAGGCTGGAACGATGTTGCAGTTTAGAGGGATTTCAAGTTGATATACATCTTGGAAGATATATGGCCGCACTATATTGAGCACGTAACGTCTGAGCGGTTC